TCACCGCCACGCCCACGCCCACGCCCACCGCCGCGAGACCCGTAGCCGCCGCCCCGCCACCGCCGCGATCCAAATTCGTGCGCCACGCGGGCAACAAGCTGTGCCCCTCGCCCAGTACCGTCATCCCCTCCCACCCCCTCCAGCACCCCTCGCCGGCAACTCATCTCTGTGTCGTGTGTCGTGTCGTGTGTCGTGTGTGTCGTGTCCAAGGTGTGTCACCCGTAAAGCAGAAGCAGCAGCAGCAGTCTCAAAGGGAAGAGGAGGAGGAGAGAGAGGAGGAGGAGGAGGAGGAAGAGGAGGAGCTGCAGAGCGTGAGAATTAGAAAGAGGCGGAGGTTGCACCACGAACCCCCTCCGCTGCCCTCGACGCAGGATCCGGCCGCCATGCTCACCCAGGACCCCGCCGTACTCGCGCAAACCCAGGTACTCACTCCTCCCTCCTTTCCCACATACACACACACACTTGAGCCAAAGAGGCCTCGCTACTCGTGTGTGTCGTGTGCCACTGTGTCGTGTTGTTGTGTGCGTGTGCGTGTGCGTGTGTGTGTTTGAAGGCCTCTTTGGCTCAAATAAGTCCACGTGCAGGCGGGGCCACAATCAACACAGCAGCAACAGCAGTTATCCGAGGACGACGTGCTTCGCTTCATCAAGTACGATCATCTCGCGCACAGTACACACAGCGCAGACTTACGCGGGTGTTGTGTGGCGTGCGTGTCGTGGTGCGGTGCGTGCTGTGCGTGCTGTGATGAAGGGAGAATGGAGGAAGCACGACGTTTGGGCTGCTGCGTGCGTTTCCAAAGAGTCGGGCGGCTGAGTTGGACGCCGTGCTGGCCGCCCTGCAGGAGAACTACTTCATCTACCGCGGTGACGACAACCGCTACCTCCCCCTGTAAACCCCCTTCCTTTTCCAGCCACACCACAATAAAACAAATGAAAAACAAAAACATACAACACAGAACATAAAAATATTGAACACGCGATCAATCATTGTAGTGCTTAGAGTACAATGCCACGGCGGAGGGCTTCCTGCTTCCGCGCGGCCTCGTCGGCATATTCGTCGCTGGTGATGTACCGCCCGCTTCCTGTCCGTTGCAGGCCGTCGATCTTCCGCAGCGTGTGCTTGCCCCACGCCCCGCCGCCTCCGCCAGCCCCGGCCCCAACGCCACTCCCCTCCTGTTGTTGCTGTTGGCTCTCCCGCACCTGCTTGAGGTGCAGCAGGCTCTCCCTCCGCCCTGCGCCGGTTGCCTCCGTCAGCACACAACACGACACGACACTCATGAAACAGAACACGACACGATCAACAACACGACACGCACCGAGTTTGGGCGGCTGGGAGGTGGAGGGCAGCTTGCGCGGGTCGGCGGCGACATCGACCACCTGCGGGAGGGAGGAGGAGGAGCCGTAGGCGGCGGTCGCGGCGGTGGTGAGGGCGACGGACTGGCGGCGTTCGTTGAGGCGGCGCCGCTCCTCTTCCTCCTTCTGGGCCAGCCGGGTCTGCACGTCGAGCAGCTGTTGCTTCAGCTCGGCCAGCTCGCGCGCCATCTCGACCTCCCGCTCGGTCAGCTCGCGCTCCTTCGTCTTCTTCGTCTTTTTCGTCTTCTTTTTCTTCGTCGCCTCCGTCTTCGTTTTGTTGTTGTCCTCCTTGTTGTCGGCAACCTTTTCGCTTTCGTTCTTTTTGTCCTTCTTGCCGAGCCTCTTGAGGGTGCCGCTGCGCTGCTTCTTCGTCTTCTTCTCTTTCTTTGCTTTCGCTTCGTTCTTTGTCTTCGCTTCTTTCTTTGTCTTCGCTTTCTTGGGCTGGTCGTCCGCCGCATTGCCGCGCGGTGAGGCCAGCGGCGTTGACGACGTCGACGAGGCCGGCGACCCCGAGGATGACGACGATGCCGAGTCCGACGCGCGCGGCGAGCGCGGGCTGGCGCTCTTCATCGTCGGCTCCGACCCGTACGTCGTGGGCGGGACGATGGTCGAGCCCCACTTGGCCGGCGCCGCGTGGGCCGACGACGCTGACGGCGTCGAAGCGGACGATGCGAGGCTGCCGACGACTGTCGTCATTGATGATGTCGACGGCGACGGCGGCGGTGACTTGGTGACGAGCTGCTTGTCCTGCACGAACTTGACCTTGGGCGGCGCGGCGTCGACCCGGTGGCCGCCAAAGATGTAGCTGCCCTCCTTTTCACGCGCCGATTTCCTGGCCTTTGTCTTTTCTTCCGGTTGTGCTTGGCTGTCGGCGTCAGCTTGGTCGGCGTAGGTGACGATGACGTCATCGGCGACGGTGGTGGCCTGCGGGGGAGTGGCGGCGAGCTGTCGCTTTCGCTCTTCCTCTTCTTCGCGCTTCTTTCTATCCCACTCTTCTCGCTTTCTCTTTTCGTCGTCTTCTCTCTTCTTCTCGAACTCTTCGCGCTTGAGCTTGCGGGTCTCCTCCTCGCGCGCCCGGTGGGCCGCCTCGTCCGCCTCGCGCTGGGCCGCCTGCAGCTTGAGCGCCTCGGCGTCCTCCTCACGCCACTCCCGCTGCACCAGCGCCCCGCATTCCTCGCATATCCCGAACATTACGCCCTTCCTGATCACCACCTCGCTCTCGCACGTCTTGCACCCCACCCGCTGCTCCCTGTCCACGGTCACCTGTCACCCACGCCTCATCAGCTCAGCGACACGACACGACACGACACGCACGACACGACACGACACGCATACTTTTTTGGTGTCGTCGTCTTCGTCGCGAGCTGGGCCTCGCTTGGCGCTCTTGAGTTCGTCCTCCTGGCGCTGTCGCTGCTTCTCCATGGCCTCGAGCTTGCGCTGCAGCTTCTCCTGCTGCCGCCGCAGCTCCTCCTCTTCGATGGCCCGCTCGGGCAGCAGCGCCACGTCGCCCGCCGTCACCACCACGCAGCGCCGCGGGAAGTACCCGACCCGCCCGCGCAGCTTGCCCCACAGGTAGAGGTCGTCGTCGCGCAGCACGGCCGTCACGGGGAACACGTCGTCGCGCACGAAGCTGAGCTCGTCGTCCGAGGCGCCCTTGTAGTCGCTCACGGCCCTGACCTGCACCTCGCCCTCGCCCACTTCCGTCGTCGGCTGTGTGCGTGTGCGGTGGTGAGTGTGCGTGTGCGAGAGAGAGAATGTGTGGAATGTGCGCGTGCGGTGCGTCGTGTGCGGTGGTGCATATGTGAGTGTCATCGTGCGATGAGGGGCAGATGGAGAGGGCAGAGGGTACGAGCAAGAGTGCGAGGGGAACGAAGCTGTCGGCGTCGGTTGGCTGGTGGGCGCTGTTGTCGGCGTCGGCTTCGGCGTCCTCCTCCTCGACGCTCTTGAGCGCCAGCTTGTCGGGATCGCCCTGGAGCACATCCACACACTCGCTAGGGAATATTCCTTTTTGGGAGCACGACACGACACGACACACGAACGCACGACACACACGCGCGCAATGTCATCAGTGTTGGCTATCGCCAGCCCGCGGAATCATCACGCAGTGCAGTCAGGGCTTACCCTCTTTGCCCCGATGCCGACCCCACCAGATCGACGCGTCCTCGGCCACGGCGGCAAACACCGTAAACACCTGCTCGCCGCGAAACCATCATCATCAGCTCTCGAAGCTTTTCTATATGTGAAGAGAGCGGACGCACGTCATCTTCCACGAAGGCGAGCTCGTCGTCGAACTCGGGACGGAAGGTGGCGACGGCGATCACCTTGATCTCGGGACCTGACACCACGGCCGCCGCCTTGGGCTTCGTCGGCTCCTTCTTCTCCTCCTGCGGCGGCTTTGGCTGTTGCTGCTGTTGCTGCTGTTGCTGCTGCTGCTGCTGCTGCTGCTTGAGCTTCTGCTGCTGCTCCAGCTCCAGTTGTTGTTGTTGTTGTTGCTCGCGCTGCCTCTCCTGGCACTCCAGCTCTTGCTCGTCCTGCTCGCGCCTCCGTCGCTCCTTCTCCTCGTTGGCCTTTCGCTCGCGCACCTCCTTTTCCTTCTTCTCCTTTTCTTCGTTGGCCTTTCGTTCACGCGCTTCTTCTTCTTCTTTCTCTCTCTTGAACCGCTGCTCCCTTTCTATGTCTTCCTTGGCTTTCCTCTCCTGCTCTTCGATGGCTTTCTTCTTCTTCTCGAGCTCCTCCTTCTCTTTGAGCTCTTGTTGTCGTTGTCTTCTCTTCGCATCTTCTTCCTTTTGCTTCTCCTGCTCTTCCTTGGCTTCTTTGGCTTTCCTATCCTTCTCCTCCTTCTCCTTCATCTGTGCCTCTGTTTCCTTCTTTCTCTTCTCCTCTTCCTCCTTCTCCTTCATCCGCTTCATCTCTTTGATCTCTCTGTCCACCCTCTCTGCCTCCTCCACCTTCTTCCTCCTTCTCTCTACTTCCTCTTCTTTCTCCTTCTCCTCTTTTTCCTTGAGCTTCTTCTTCCTCTGCCCCTCCTCCTCCTCCTCTTGGAGTTGAAGTTGTCGTGTAGGTGTGGCAGAAGATGAAGAGGACATGATGGATGAAGATGCTAGCGCACCCGCTACATCGCCGCCCCCCTCTTCGCTCTGCTGTTGTGGCAGGAGCGCGAGCAGGAGCCCGAGTAGCGCCTTGACGTCCTCGAAGAGCTGCGTGCGCACACGATCCACAGCCGCCGCCGCCTCTCGTCGCGCATCGAGTGAGGCCAGGGCCGCTACGCGCGGGGCAGCCGTCGCCAGCCGCAGGGCCGCGCCCGCCACCTTCTGGGCCTGCTCCTCGGCTTCCTTGACCCGTCGCTCCCGGTCGGGCTGCAGTTGGGTGGTGGTGGCCGTGATGGCGTTGTGATGGTTGCGCACGGCGATCGTGGTGCGGACCAGGCCCTGCACCCCCTCGCGCGCGGCCTTTACCGCTTCGGCCACCACTTCGCTGTTGATGGTGGTGGCAGCGGTGTCGGCGTCGAAGGCGCGCCCGAGGTCGCGCACGCCGCGCGCCACTGCAAAGGCGGCACGCTTGGCTTCTTCCTTGACTTCGGCCAGCTCCATCGGTTGCTTCTTCTTCGTGTTGTTGTCTGCACGCGCTCGTGGTCTGTGGTGTGTCTTGAGTGTGGGTCCAGAGCTACCACATTCCTCGTCCTACGGATTCCATCAGTCGACAATCATTCCTGTAATATGAAGGTGATTAATTGCAAATATAAAAAATGAAGACGAATAGGTGAAAAATGAAGGCGGAGCTTTTCGCACGCCATTTCCAGCGCCGCCGTTTTCGTTTTCTCTTTCGTGCTTCGCTCTTCTCGCCGCCTTCATTTTTCGGGTCTCTTCTTGTTGTTTCGAGCCGTGGAAGAAGGAAGAAGGAGCTCAGTTAGGTCGGCCGATAAGCAAACACCAGAGAAACTAAGATGGAACGTGTTTCGGTGCGTCTCGTGGCGACGCTCGCGGTGCTGGCCCTGATGATCCTCGCCGCGTCGGGCCAAAGCGACTGCAAGGGCAAGGTGGGCAAGTACGAATACGACCTCACCCCGCTGGCACAGAAGCTTGGCGCTGTGGACCTCCAGACGCAGGATGCCGGCAACCCGCCCCAGACCTACTACTACCGCGTGTGCGGCGTGGTGAGCAACAACTTCTGCCAGACGGTGGACGACATGACGCCCGCCGTGTGCCAGAAGGACACGCGCATCCCCGCCGAGTTCCACGATTGCGGCAACCAGAAGACGGCTCGCTTCCAGAAGCTCCCGAGCGGATCCGATTCTGATGGTTTCACCCTCTCCTACACGGGCGGCCAGGATGGTCGTGCATCCATGATTTACTTCAAGTGGTACGAGACCCCCCACCCGCTTCGTTCCATCTTCTTCTTTCAATGCATTGATGTTTACGGTCATAATGGGATGCTCTGTCTCACTGCGTTCCCTCTGTTTTGAAACAGCGACAAGTCCAAGGATCCTGGCGTGTTCAGCTTCGTCAAGGAGGACCCCGTCAAGACGTATGATTTGCAGTACCTCAGCAAGTGGGCTTGCCCCACCAACGGTGGCGGCGGCGGCGGCGGCGGTGGCGGTGGCGGCGGCGGTGGTGGCGATGACGACGACGGCGGCATTTCCGGCGGCTGGATCTTCATCATCATGTACGTGTCGTGTGCAATTTGGTGTATAATTTTTGATTTCTCGTGTTGTGGGTGACTGACTGGCTGGCCCTACCCATGCAGTTTGTCGAGCTTGCTGGTCCTGTACCTCGTCGGTGGTGTGGCCTTCAACAAGTTCTACAGGCACCACGAGGGCAAGGAGATCATCCCCAACGTCGAGTTCTGGATGGCTCTCCCCGGTCTCGTCAAGGACGGCCACCTCTTCGTCTGGCGCAAGGCTCGCAGCCTCACTGGCCGCGGCAGCTACGAGGAGATGTAAACTCGTCCTCTGGCACTCCATCTCCCCTCTCATGCGCGCAATCGTGCATTCATTCATTCTCTTGCCCGTTCACAACTGTGCGAATAAATAAAAATAAACACGGCGTAAAAATCAAATCAAATCTGGTTTGCAAGATGGAACGGAGGGGCACAGGTGAAATGACAAGGATGTTCTGAGTAGTGTGTTCATTCGGTTTGGAGGAGTGTCTATGCATAGTACATGAAAATCGAAAGGTTCAGAAATTGAGAGAAGAGAGAACGAACGAGATGAGGAATGAAAGATGGAAAGTGTAGAGAGAGATTTGGTGATCGATCGGCCTCGGCGCTGCGTGGGGTTCTCGTCGTTCGGCTTCGTCTTGCTCTCCCCAGTCTACTCGACCTTCCTCCTGCCCTTCTGGGTGGAGGGAGTCCTGGCCTTGTTGGCCTTGGCCTTGCCGTGAGCGGCCTTGCCCTTGCCAGCAGCAGCCGAAGAGGAAGAGTAGGTGCGGAAGTAGAAGCGGACGAAGAGGAAGAGGAAGGAGAGGAGGACGGCCTGGTTGAACCAGAAGACGAACATGGGGGCCTTCGTGAAGGCGTTCCACGCGTAGCCGCAGACGGCGGGGAAGGGCCACCAGGTGAAGATGCCCCAGCAGAACTGGAAGATCTGGAGCTTGGTGATGTGCTTCTTCCACCAGATCTCGAAGCCGAGCGAAGTCATGCAGTAGTAGTAGTACATGATGGTGTGGATGGTCGAGTTGAACACGACGCCGACCCAGAAGTAGAAGATCTCAGCCTGGATGAAGGCGAGCACGAGGGGGACGATGATGATGTGATGATAGACGTGGAGGAAGTGGAGGGGGCGGCCGCGAAGGGCCAGGAGTATGGTGTCCACGAACTCGTAGTACTTCGAGAGGTAGAACACGACGCACCACACCCACACGCGCCCGGTGAGCATGCGATCGGGCGAGGTCGGCTCGAGTCCGTGGATGCCCAGCTGGCCATCGCGCGACGCATCGCAGTAGTGATCCTCGAACGACCGATCGGCCCTCCACGCTCGCACGCCCTCCCAGGTCGTCATCGTCGCCATCACGAAGGAGAGGGCGCAGAGGATAAAGTTGTGGATCGTAACCGCCCATCGCAGATCGAACGGGCCGATGAGACCGCCGACCTTGCACGCGCTACGCAGGATGGCCAGGAGCGTGATGTAGATGGCTGCCCCCACCAGCGGCCACCTCCAGTCCATGAGCGCCGCGCGCCATTCGTCGTTCTCCGCCACAGCGTCCACCAGCGGGTCCCATACGTGCAGCACCTGCTCGACCTTGCCCAGCACTTGATGCGCCACGTCCATTACCATCGCCTCCGTCGTCGTCATCTTCTGGCAAAATCGCGATTTCCGGGGGTTACAGTCGCGGTGGTGGAGGACAACGAAGAGAAGAAGAAGAGGGAGAAACTGGGCTGCGGAGAAGAAGAAGAAAGGAAGGACTTACTCAAGGAGCGTTAGCCGGCTCGCCAAGTTGGGTAGGGTTGCCTACCGACGTGAGAGACCCTTTGAGTGACGACGGCAATAATTGACGGAGGTCAAGCTCGGGGTTTACGGAGTTGAAAATTAGTGTCGACAATTGATTCTTCCCTTAATTCGACAAACTTGTTTTGGCGCCTTTTTAGAAAGGCTGTCTCTGCAGCCACAGTCTGGGGTACCACTTCAGGCCTTACTGTCCACAGGTTGCATGGCCACTCTGTGCATATGCTCAACTCCCACAGGTTGCTGCCAAATTCTATGCATTACCCCTGATAAGAAGCACTTGGCTGCCATAGGGTTATGATGGAGTGGGTGAATGGTTCTGGATGTTGTGCACTTCCTCTTCTTTGGCCTCTGTCATCAGGTGGTGTATGTAATTTGCCGCCACACACCCCCAACAACCAACCAACGGCAAGCCTGCGATAAATTGCGCTAATTAATAGAATTCATTATATTACACGTCGCCGGAGGTTGTCCTCACCGTTGAGATTTATTTTTACTTCCACGCGAACCATCTGTGCTAGATCAAGACGTTGAAAGGAGAAGTGGAAGATGGGACTGAAGGATGACTGCCTCATACCAGTATGGGACAAGTTCAGAGCCTTGGTCAACCTCAAGTACCTCATCACGGGCATCATTGCCGCCCTTATCTTCGTCTCCATGCTCTCTGCTGCTCCCACCCCTTGGTGGGTTGAGGTACGCCGGCCCAACCATCTTCGGCCCGCGTCCATTTTTACCTCCGATTTTACATTTAATCTCTGCCGCCCGCCATTTTTGTAGGGAAACATATGTAATCAATATTTACGTTCTTACTCATGTTACACTTTTTGGTGATATCTTTATTGTTATAAAAACTTGTTATTCGATTCACGAACACGAACCCGCCCGATCAAAAGGCTAATTCCTCTAATACAAAAAATTTAATCAAATCAAATCGCCCTTCTTCCGTTGCATCACCAGGAAACGGAGCAGTACAAGACGCGACTCTTCTTGAACTTTGCCGACACCAAGGGCGACTTCATGGACGACGTCGGTACGCACACTCCCAATTTTTCTCAAAGTCTGCACGACACACACGTCCTGACACAACATACGACACACGACCGCAGAATGTTTGTACAGCGACTCGGGGTGCAGGATCATGCTGCACCACCGGGAGGTGGACGGCCACCAGCTGTGGCCCATCTACTCGGCGGCCCAGGCCTTCACCATCATCTCCATCGTCCTCGCCTTCGCTCTCTCCGTCATCCACTTTGCGCTGGCCTTTGTCGCCCGCTTCCTCTCACGCGTGCGCCCCCCCCCCCGTGTGTCGTGTCGCGCATCTCGTGTCGTGTCGTGCGGTGCGTGCGGCTCACATTCTCCTGCTTTCCATTGCGCAGAGGGTGATGGTGGGCGTGAACGCGTTCAACATCGCCAGCGCGTTCTTGCTGTGCATCACGACCATCCTGCCGTGGGTCATTCTCATGTCCCTCCACACGCGGGCCGTCCGCGATGCCGAGGGGGTCTCCAACGACGGCGCCCGGTGCGTCCCCCCCGTCACGGCCTTCGCTCTTTTTAATGAGAGAGACTCTCACGGTCTCTTTCGCTTTCGTTCTTTTTGTCGCGCAGGTGCACGTTCTACTTGCACGCCGGTGACGTCAGCGCCGGCGGAGCGGCCTGCACCTTCGCCGGCCACCAGAACAACGTCACCAGCGGCGCCACCGTTTGGAAGTGGGGTACCATCCCCCTCGCGCCTTTCTTCCGATTGACGCTCAACTCAACTTCGTGTGTGCGTGTGCGGTGGTGCGTGTGCGTGTGCGTGTGCGGTGGTGAGCAGAGCCGACGGGCGGGTGGATCCTGAACTGCACGGTTTTCTGGATCACATTGCTCACATTCCTGCCGGCCAACGTGCTGTGGGTCCTCAACACCGGCGGCAAGGTCGCCCGGGGCCGCGGCAAGAGCATCCGGCGCGGTCGTGGCATGACCTCCTCGCGCGCCCTCTCCAAACAGTTTGAGCTCAACAAGATCTCGTGCGCCCCCCCCCCCACCACATCCGTGCGTGTCGTGTCGTGCCATGTGCCGCGAGTGTCGTGCCGCGTGTTGTGTTGTGCTGACGACGGTGGGTGTGATGATATGCAGTACTGGCGCGAGGTCGCCCAGGAAGAACGTGGAGACGTCGGGCGGCGACAGCGTGGAGGAAAGCGACGGCGAGGGCCGAGGCGGCGCCATCAACTTTGGCGACGACGCGCCATCGGGCCGCGACAGGGCCGAGAGCGCCTATGACGGTGGTACGTGTCCCACTCACCTCACTACATGTAATGTTTTTGGGCGAAGAAGAAGAAGAAGAACGTTAACATTGTTTTTACTGTCGTCATCATCGTCATTGCTGTTGTTGTGTTGCAGGCGCGATCAACTTTTCGGGCAATGAGGCCCCGCGCAAGTCGGAGGAGGAGGACAGGAGCGAGGGCGCACTCACCGATTCGGAGGAAGACGACTAGAGACACACCCCGGGACCGGCGTGACGACCTTTTGTGTGCCCACGTTCTTGCCGTTCCATTTGTGCTGTACCAATACCCCATTAATAAAAGGAAGAGTTAATCCGAATGGAGAGACTGCCAAGCCTCAAGATGCAGACTACAAGACTTGTCCACAATGGTTCGTCTTTTCGAATTCATGCGAATAGGTGTTGGATACGCTGCAGATGGAGCAGTGGTGCGCTGGCGTCGATGAACGACGGCGGCGCCGATGTCTACGGCGACTGTGACAGCGACGACGGTTGGCGCCAACGCAGTCGGCCGCAGCGCGGGGGGAGGTCGTCGGCGTAGCGAAACAGCAGCATGTCGGAGTCTTCGATGCAGGCGGCCAGCAGACGTGAATCATCGACCGCGAGCTGCTCGATGCGCCGTGGCGCAAGCGGCCCAAGCTCGAGAGCTGCGGTGGCGAGGGCATGAAGGACAAGAACCCAGGCGACACTACCCTGGAGCTGGTGATGATTGAGCAGCCGCTGCGCATCGCGGCCTCGTTCTACTCGCCGCCGCAGCCGCGCATCTTCACGGACGAGTGGAGCATGTACTACCTGGCCGATTTCCGCAGGCCCGAGGACTACGTCGGTCTCCAGTTCAGCGTCGACGCGGCGCCCATCAACCATCGGCCCCGCAATCTTCTACTTCTTCTTAATCATCATCACCGTCGCCATCACCTTCGTTCTCACTGCTGTTGCTACAATGCTCGGCTTCAGCTTCGGCCTGGGCTTCTTCGGGGCCACCGATCGAGGTCGGGACGAAGCGCAAGCGGACCTGGGCGGCCACGACCGACCGCTGGTTGAGGCCGAGGCGGAGGACTGGCGGCGCGCGCTGGTGGCTCGGCTGCCTCGGCACATCTGGGCCTCGCCGGATCCCTGCGGCGGAAGCAACGAGCGCTCGTCAATGTTGCTGTTCGGCGAGGAGGTCCTACTGCACGTGGGCCACACCTGCATCGTCACGCGCGACAACAACGCCACCCGCTACCGAATCCGCCACTTCGGCTGATGACGCGCTCTGGTTCCTCCCTTTCGTCGAATAATGAAATAGCTTTTCTCGTTTTTTCTCTTCGTGTTTCGTTCTTTCTTTTTCCCTCCCATGTGCTGAGGTTCAGCCAATGGAGGTGGGAGTCCCACAATGGGAGGTAAGGCTCCAGGCGTTGAAGTAGGGCAGGGCGGCCCCCAGCAAAGGTACTAATCATCCATTGCATTTCGTCTTTGGTTCATAGTCTACATCACTTAAAGTGGTGGCCTGCTCGTCCCTCCATTCCGAGGGGCTGAGCGGTTCCCAACAATTCAACAACAAACACCACCTACATACTCCACTACTATCGAACAACAAACTGCCACCAATCCTCTTTTATCTCAACAACAGTCTTATGGCAATGCTCGGACGAAGCAAACGGTGGTGAAGCCCTCCGTGTCATCGCATCCAACCGACCCCCCTCTGCCCTTCACGCATCGTCTACATTCATCGCTACACACATATGTGTGGATATGTTGTTGCACTGGGATGGAGAGATGTGTGTGTTTTGTGTTATTCTGCTTCTGAGAAGATGGAGCACTGTCCGCCAGGTTTTCGATGGAAGAAAGACTGGTAGGCTCGGCAGGTTGGGTAGTGCGGCTTGCAGTGGATCCCCAGTGGTTGGCGGAGCTGTGTGATGTCCCAGGGAGAGCTGCAGTGGTGTGGTGGTGCGGTACCACTGTGTGAGTTCGGCAGCACACAGGCCAGTAGAAGACTCTGGTGCGTACTCTACGACGGTTGCGAAACCGAGTCCCCTGCTGGCGTGGCTGAAGTGGAGTGGTGGGCAGCTCTGGTTGGGTCCACACCCCATGGCGTCGAGGTGGGCCTTGAAGCATTCGGACTGGCTGCCGTGGCATATCGTACGGCAACACTGTGCGGCAGCCAACGGAATGTTAGTATTTGTTGAACGTAAGAAAAAGTGTGACAACATGTCATGGCATTGGGTAATCGGTGACTACCTGGTCGGGAGCCTGTTCACAGTCAGTGCCGCGGTACGAGTCCAGTAATCGCAGGATGGATCGCCACATCGCGACCTGCGTAGCGGCCCAGCAACCACGGAAAACCATCATCAGTGAACCTTTAAAGGAAGAAACAGATGTAGAAAGTTAAAAGGAAGAGAGAGAGAGAGAGAAAGCTCGACCTGGTCGGGCCAACTGGGGTTGCAGGCCTGCATCTCCTCTAGCCAAATGTCGATGAAGCGACGCCCGATCTGGGGTGGTGGAGATCCAGGGTGTTAGTACTGCTATTTGGTTTGAGCTTGCGGTTGTACGTCTGAGTTCTTGATGAGGAAGTTAAAGTTGGAGAAGTCTCTTCGCCCAGGAGCATCCTGCGGCACGATGATGTGGTAGTCTGATGTGCAACTGTCAGAACATGGTTGCAGATGTAAAATGTAACATGAAAGCGAATGCGTGAGAAGTGAAGCACCGTCGTCGGTGGGAATGTAGCTCTCGAGTGGTCGGTCGAAGTTGGTGATGAAGAAGTCGGCGTCGGCGAAGAAGACCCAGTCCAGTTGGGGTGTCTGGGGCGAGTTGAGGAGCCTGTGCGTGTGCACCAGCTTGGCCCAGTAGCCGTGGCTCACCTCGATGTCAGAGCCCACCACGAATGTGTAGTTGTGCATGGCGCTGTAGCACTTGCGGTTGGTCATGATCATGTCGCGCTCCTCCACACTCTTCTCCTCGAACCTGGACCATTTAGAGTAAATTTTATTGTAAAAACAATATAATATGTATTGTTTTAAAAACCACAATATTGGTGTTGCTTTGAGTCGTACCAGCTGTCGGGGTAGTAGGCTAAAAGGACGACGATGTTTTTCTTTGGCCCGCTGTAGTTGTAGCCCTGGAGCTCGTATGCCTGCTTGTGAATCTGGGTCTTGGGAACAAACTCCACGACCGAGCTGGTCGCCTGCCACAGGTGCGTCATGCCGCACACACACAGGAAGACCAGAACGCAGAACAGCAGACACAGCCTGTTCATCCGCCTCCCTTTCACTCACGTTGTTCTAGCGTGGGTCTTTGCCCAACACACAAAGGTTGACTCCGCCAGCTCTATTGTTGTTTCTGAGTCCAAAAAAGGACATGCCCGTTCACATGTTAACAGAAATTTTTTTTCGAAAACAGGTTGTGATTTGCGTAAATATGTGGGCTGTTGTTGTTGGTGTTAAAAACAAGAGAGTGACGCGGATAACTATCTATTGCGAGCCGCTGGGCGTCCTGCTTTCCTCTCTCCTTCCCTTCGTCGATGCCTACAGGTCCGGGTGCTCCACCTCGCCGCTCGGTCGTCTCGGTGGTGTCAATCAAGCGGAGACCAGGAAGCCGATGTCCATCTTCCCCTTCTGCTGAGGCTGTCGCTGTTGGTGATGTTGCTGCTGTTGTTGTTGATGATGTTTGTGATGTTGATGTTGTTGGTGCGGGTGGTTGTTGTTCTCATGTACCACCAGGTGCATGGCGTCGGCGTCTTCTTCCTCCTCTCGCCCGCTCGACTCCTCGCCGGCGGCCACCACGGGCGAGTGCATGACCCAGCCGCCCGAAGTGGGCGTCGACTGGGAGCGCAGGCGCGTCACGGGCCGCAGGGCCGACGGCCGCCTCGGCTGTGACGACTGGGGCGCCTGGTGCGACATCTCCATCGCGTCGTGGTTCGGAGGGTCCGGGTTCGAGTGGCTTCGCGACCTGATGTGTCGTGTCGTGTCGTGGGGACACAGAGATGTGTTGCATGTCAACAAGAGTTGAGAAAAAGAAAGAGAAAAAGAGAAAGAGAAAGAGAAAGAGAAAAAGTAGAGCGGTCGAGGGAGTGGACCTGTTGCGGATGATGCGTCTCTCGATCTCAGTGGTCTCGGTGACTTCTGTAGTCGTGGTGGTGCGGGTGGTGGTACGCAGCGGATTGCCGTCTGCATGAACATCCCAAAAACAGGGTAAGCCCACCGCCTAACGCCATATGGGTTCGTTCACGGTGACAAGGGAACGCAACTGGTGGCCCACAAGTCAGCAGAGGGCAGGGGCGGGCTCGAGTTGGATCTCAGCCTGAGTAAACGGAACGCCATCAGCCAGTCAATTATAAAAGTCAAGCCATGCACTGGTGTGGTGTGGCGTGCACTCACCGCGAGTGCACCGGCGGGTAGCCGTTGGTGCTGGACTCGTCCGCGGGTGCTGTCGGTCTGCTGAACAGGTGGAACAGGGGCTCCTCCCGGTCCGACAGCGGGTTGTTGTACAGCAGCTTCTCGTGGTTGCTGTTGATCAGCCCCTCGGCTCCCTCGGGGCCGCTACTCGCCATTTCTCGCTGTTGGGCCGATGACGACGTGCACGACGACGATGACGGCGACGACGGCGACGGCGGCGATGACCTGCGTAGCGGCGATATCTGTTGTTGATGCTGATGATGTTGATGATGTTGCTGGGGCTGGCACTGCGGTTGTTGGTGGAGCTCCTTCTCGATGTTCTGGAGGGGCGGGAGGGTAAAGGGCCGGAACGGGAAGTTGAGGCTGACGGACGGCTGCCACGAGCCGCTATTGGAAGGCGACGTAGACGGCGACGGCGCCGGCGTGGGCGACGGGTACGACCCGCACATGTCCGACGAGATCGAATTTGACCGGTAGCGCAGCATAGCCGGCGGGTGCCCGCCACGGTAGTGCTGAGGCTGGTTGGGGTGCAGCTGTTGATGTTGATATTGAGGTTGCATGGGCTGGATGGGGTGCAGCTGTTGTTGTAGTTGCTGTTGCTGTTGCTGTTGCTGTTGTTGATGTGTGATGATTTGTTGCAGCTGAGCCAATTGTTGCTGTTGCTGCTGCTGAAGCGGAGGGAAGTAGATCTGCTGGGTCATGGGCGGCGGCTCGGAGAAGGAGCGGCCGGGGCGAGTGGCGAAGGGAGCCGTCGCGGGCGAGGGCGCGGGCGGCTGGAGGCTCATGAGCTGCTGGGCAGGCGAGGGCGAGAGCGAAGGCGAGTGGGGCGGGAAAGCGCCCATCATGATGGGCACTCCGGGCAGGGGCGTGGAGCAGACAGGAGTGGGCGAGAGGGGCGAACACGAAGAAGTCGACGACGAGGCGATGGGCGAGCTGGGTCCGCTGACCATCATCATCTGGTTGGCCGGCGACATGGGCTGTACGACCGGAGGCGACATGGCACCTCGAGAAGCGCCCATCGCGCCCCCCTTCTCCAGCTTCCAATGACCTAGCAATGCCCCCCCCCAAACGTGAGCAGTAATAATAAGAAAAACTGCAGATAAAATCACAAACATAAAAAAATCCAATTAAAAAACAGAAAATAAACGAGTGGGGAGGGGTGCCTCACCGGTGAGACTGTCGAGGGAGCTGGGCTTTGCGTTCTTTCGGGCGAGATCGGGTGAATCGGACAGCTTCCACTTCATCTCGAACTCGCTCGCTCGCCCTCTCCTCTTGCCTCGTGTTCCTCGACCTCCCCCTGGGGGAGATCCTCCATTACTGTGCCCTCCTCCCCCTGCTGAGATGCTCATTACCCGGTTCTTCTTGGCGATGATGATGATGAGGAAGAAGGTGATGGTGGTGAAGACGATGTCGTCAATCCCCCTTCAAAAAAGGAGATGGTAGCTCTCTCTTTCTCTCTCTCTCTCTCTCTCTAGACCATAAGGGTCCGGGTTATGGAGCGATTGCTTGCCGAGAAGGTGTCCGGAATGGCCTGCGCCTATTATGGGCAGCCACTTGTAGCCTTGTAGTATGAGAGGTGGAGGAAGTAGAGGTCTTGAGGGCGGCCGAGAGTGAAAACACGACTACCTCTCTTTTTTTTGAGCTGGCGTGGTGAATGGTCCCTCCCTCTCGAAACGGGTCGCTTCAGATCGCACGACCGGAAAAGGGAAACATACCAAAGAAGGGTTCGCACGTGGCACTCATGCCATTTTCGGACATCTCTTTTTTAGGCAAACTCTGGAAAAAGACAAAAATATGAAAATAGGAAAAGAGCTGTACTTTCACCATGTTTATGTGTGAGCACCTTCACAGTTCGTGAACTAAGGGACGTGTGGTTCACACTTACCTCGGTTGGTTAGGTAAGGAACTGAAGCCCCATGCGTTTTGCGTGGAAAAGGAATAATAACCCTTCTTTATTCCTGCACTTCCTCCTGGTACGTCAACAGTTCTTGAAGTTGTACAGCGCATCGTCAACATCAGCCATCTTCTGCTCACACGGGCAGCGCCACAACAACCAAACACCAAATGTCAGGGTGATATGCAACGCTGAAAAAGAAATGACATCACACGAGCCGGCAAAGCTGACGGTATGTGTGGTCGGTTACCTGGCTGAGAAGGGATTGGATGATCCACTGCTTGCCCACCACCGGCACCCGCAGCTTCTTGAACTTGACCTTGAGGTAGTCATCCGGGTCGGGCGGGCTCACGATACACTGCGTTTTTTTGGCGTCGCACATGACACACACGCAGCGCACGCAACACACGACATGTGAGTCCAGTGCATGTATTGCAGAGAGGTGTCTTGATGTCAGCCCCGATGTGAGGTACGAACCTCGACGCGATCCTCCTGGGGCGTAAACAGTCGTTCGACCACCTTCGCCCCGCCCTCCTTCAGCACGAGCTTCCACAAGTTCTGAAGAGAGAGAGAGAGAGAGAGAGAGCGCAACGGAGCGAGGTGAGCCGTAGACCACCTATGATGACGTGTCTGCCGACGAGGGGACCAGCAGAAGAAGCGGGATGGGCGTGGGTACCTTGAATTCGGGCGTGCCAACGACCTCGACTCGCGTGCCCTCGAAGATGTCACCGCGCGGCTTCTTACTGTCGGGTGCGACGTAAACGGTGAGCATTTACAGAATCAGCAAAACGTATGAAAAGTAGCACAATAATAATAAAAAAGTATTACATAAACGTATATGTACATATCAATAAATAGAAATATGAAAGGAGGATCGTACATGAAGACGTCGGAGCCCTTCTCGACGGAGTAGCCGGCGGGCAGGAGGTAGAGGGAGTGGGGCAGGAGGCACCGCTGCTGGCAACAGTGGATGAGCCAATTGTAGTGGACCGTCGGCAGTCCCGCCGCCACCGACAGCAGATACTTGAGGGTCCTGTTTAAGATTGCGATCAGGGCGTGCGACGGTGGTCAGAGCCATCGACAAAAGAGCGAAAGCGAAAGCGAATGAAAAAGGCGATGGGTGTGGGGTGGGGACGTACGTGCGGGGCTTGGCGGAGAGGAGGATGGTGGAGGGGAGGCCCGGGTAGCCGCTCCGCTTCTTACACTGGGACGCCAGGGAGGCGTTGGCAAAGTTGCCCAGCAGCTTGCCGCCCTCTTCCCCGATCAATCGGTTGATGCGTTCGGCCGACCGGTCTGCAGCCACACGGCACACACGGCACACGCACATAAGCGCACGACACACGCACCGCACGCACTCGATGAGCACCATGTGCGCACATGATGAAGGCGGGGTGGTACGGTACCGTCGTTTTCTTTGTCGTCCTCGCCGGACAGGCCGGTGACGATGAACTGGAGGCCTCGGAACAGCTGGTCGGCGTTCTTGGGCTTAGTGGCCTCCTGACCGGCCTAAAAAGCACAGCACAACATTCACACCATTCCAAAACATTCCATTCAATGTCATGCTAGCATTCCTCCCCCCCAAAGCGGTCACACATAAAAGCGAGGCGTAGGCCGTACGGCGAGCATCTTCTTCTCGATCTTGCGCCAGGTGAACTGCGGCGCTTCCGCATCTTCATCCGGCACCTCCTGTGTGTCGTGTGTGAGTGTGCAAGTGTGGTGGGCCCACGCGGCGATCCACTTAGAGAAGGAGGAGTGTGGCGGGTGTGGCGGCACCATCGACTTTCGTTTGGCCTTCCGGGTGGTCTTCTCGCCCTTGTCGTCGGCTGGCTCCTTGCCCTTCGAAGCTTTGGCTGCCAACCACACAACCACAACACACGTCAGCCTTCATGAAGAAGATGAGGATTGCCGGCGCAATGACATGAAGAAGCCGGAGCAGGAGGCACCCTTGCTCGATGTTGTGCGAGGCTTCACGACTCGCTCCTCTTCCTCCACGTCATCGTCGTCTTCATCATCTCCGTTGTCGTGGTCGTGATTGTCGGCCTCGGCCTCGTCCGAGTCCTCCTTCCACTCGTCGCCCCGGGGACTGCGCCGACCCGAAGGAGACTTTTTGGCCATCCGCGTAGAGGCCTTGCTCTTCTTTTCGCCTTCGTTCTTTTTCTTCTTTGCCGCCGCCGCTTTCTTCTTTCTTTCCTTCTCTTTCCCGCCTTCGTCTTCGTCGTCTTCGGACGAGGACTGGATCATGCGATTCTTCCGCTGGGCCGTCCGTCGGGCAGGCGTGGCCTTCCGGCTCTCCTTGTCCGTGGTCGAGATCCACCTCTTCTCCTTCTCCTTCTCCTTCTCCTTCGCTTCTTTCTCCTTCGCCTTCGTCTTCGCCAACGTTGCCCTGGCCTTCTTGTCGTCTTCTTCATCATCATCGTCTTCGCTCTTCGTCTTCTTCGCTATCTTTTCGTTCTTTTTCTTGCTGTTGACTGACGATGATGACGACGATGCCGGGGGTGATGGCGACCTGGTCGGCGTCGAGGGCGGCGAAGTGAGCGACTTCTTCCGATTGCGCGCGTAGCTCATGAAGTCGTTCTCCGCGCGGGAGGCCTTGGCGGCCGGCGTTGATGATTGCGACTTCTTGTTGACGCTGCCGCTGCTGCTGGCCTTGATCTGGTCACGGTCGCGCATCCGCTCCTCCTCGTCGTCCCAGTGCGGGAAGCTCAGGTCGTACGACGACCCCACCACCTTCACCTCTACCTTCTTCTCCTTCTCCTTCTTCTCCTTGTCGTTGATGGTGACGTCCACCTTCTCCTTGCCCTTGTCCTTTCGTTTCGCAAGCCGCGGAGTACCGACGCTTGCCGGTGTCACCTTGGCCGCCACCTCGACCACTTCCTTCACTTCTTCTTCTTCCTCCTCCTCCTCCTTCTTCTCCTTCTTGTCCGTTGTCACCTTCTTGGCGATGTCGGACCGCTTTGTCTGTACGGCGCCCTTGACCGGCGGCCAGTCGGCTTCCTCCTCGTCGCTGCTGACGATCGACTCCTCGTCGGCCTGTGCAGGCCCGTGCGGCGCCGGGACTGTAGGCTTGCCGTTATTGTGAGGGTCCAGTACGGCCAGGCTCTGCGTGCGTTGGGTGGCGCCCGGGGCCGTGGCCGCCAGAGTCGACGCCGTCAGCATCATCGACTGCGAGTCCGGCAGCAGAACCGCACCTGTGGGCCGCAGCGTGTTTGTGGTCAGCACAACACAGAAAATCCTGAATGCGTGCGTGTGCGTGCGCGGTGGTGCATGTGTGCTTGTGTGGCGAGAAGACACAGAAGAGAGAGCGTACTGAAGGCGGGCATATCGAACTCTTTGTCAGAGTCGAGGGAGAGCTCGTCTTCTTCCTCGTCTTCCGATTCCTCCTTCTCCACCTTGCTGTTCGCGTCTTCCTCTTCCTCTCCCTCTTCCTCTTGGTCCTCCTCATCGTCGTCCACTTCGTCCTGGCTCTCGACAACGCTGGGTTTGGCCTCGACCTTTCGGGGCGGCCTCGGGTCGGGCTTCTTGTATGTTTCCTGCGTACACTCCACGTCCACCAAGAAAATAGAAGTCAGTTGGGGTGCCACGCCGAGCGTCTGTCACACGGCACACATGACATGTCGTGCGTTCACCTTGGTCGCAGGAGTGCTCGGTTTGGTCGCTTGCTTCATTGACTCTTTTTTATTCGCCGCTGTCACGTGCTGTGGCTGCTTTGCTGCTCGGCTGCTGTCGCACATCTGATGGCGTATATATGCAAAACAGTATGATTTGGTTAGAAAAGCTGGTGTTTCGTTTCGTTTCGTTTGGAAGAGCACCTCGCACTGGTCCGAGTCACTGGCGTTGTCAGCGAACGTGCACTCCTTACTGCGGTGGGCGAGAACGAGGAAACGAAGAATGAAAGTGGTCAGGCTCGGCAAAGCCTGCCACTGAGCTTGAGAGCAGCAACGTACCAAGCCCACGTGGTGTTGAGAGGGGGACGGGCGACGCTCGGGGGCGGGCGGTGCTGCGGCCGACGCTCTGCGGCCGCCTCGGCGGGGGTGTTGTCGAGCTGCACATCTTCATCGTCACCGTCATCGTCATCGTCATCGTCGTCTTCTTCTTCCTCTTCTTTAATGACCTCTACGGTGCTCTCTTCGTCTTCTTCGTCTTCTTCGAGGTCGCCCTCGAAAGAGAGCGACACGAGGGGCTCGTGGAAGGTGCCCACAGCGCCCTGCACCGACGCTGGCACGCTGGCTGCAGCTGATTTCTCTTGCTTCGTACCGGCTGCAGATGCGAACGTGGAGATGAGAGATCAGGACACCACGTGCCCTCAATCATGCGATCGTGAATTGTGGATGGAAAAAAAGGGTACCATTAACGGGCAAGAAGCGAGCAGAGAGTGGAATGGTGGAAGGATCAGATGCTGGACCCGTTCCAGCCGAAGCTGAGGCCGAGGCAAAATTGCCATCGAGCTCCACATCCGAGTCCTCGTACGAGCTGTCCATGTCCGTGCCTGTGCACTCCCGCGTTGCTGCTAATGATCTCCAGCTTGGAGGCTAAATAAATCGTTGGAACGAAACGAATTCTGATGGCTGATCAGTCTGATTTCTCTTTGTTTTCATTTCTTTTCTCTCCGCACTGCCTCTTCGACAAGGAGGAGATTGGGATGCAGACGTCATCACACCAGCCCCTGCTGCCCGTGGTGAACCCAGGCGCCGCGGCCGAAGGGATGTCGGGTCGCCACGGCCTACCGCGAAAGAAGAAGTCGGGCCTGGGCGGTGCAGCCAGGAGCAAGGACTTTAGAGCCTGCGGCCTGGGGGTGGTCCTGGTCATGTGCGTCTACGGCGCCTTCTACGTGCTGCTCGAGAAGTCGGGCGAGGTCGACTGCCCGGTGTGCCACGAGGTCATCACCCCCGCCACCGCGCGACTCCACACCGACGGCTACCACACCCTGCTACGCGAGCGATGGGACCCCACCCGCTTCCACGACAACGCTACGCGGTGGCAGGACTGTGTGGCCAAGACCCACCCCGACTACCCAGCCATCTCCGAGTACGAGCACACAAGACCCGTCCTCGTCTGGACATGGCATACGCTCGAGAACTTCCTCTACATTCACCAGGTCCGTTCTTGCGTGTTGTGTCAAAAGAAATGTAGAGCTGACACATGTGTGTGCGGTGCGCGTGAGCGGTGTGCGGGGTGTAGGAGTCGGTACGGAGTTGCCCGGTACCGTGCTTCATTGCGTCGGACGTGCACATGAAGCAGGAGTGTCTGGACGAGGTCGACGGGTTCATCTTCCACCCGCCCACGGTGGCGCACAGGCCCTACGAGCCTCTGGTGAAGAAGCCCCATCAGCAGTGGATCCTCTTCTCCACCGAGTCCGAGCTCAACTACCCCATGCTCGAAGGTGTCGAATCTTGTCGTGTGTGTGTGTGTTTGCGCGCGCGCGGTGGTGTGGAGATGACGCACAAACTTAAAAACCGCTCCCTCCAGACCCCAAGTTCATGTCCAAGTTCGACATCAACATGACGTACCACTTGGAGGATGCGGTGCCTTTCACCTACTACATCGACATCGACTTCTACACCAAGTACTGGCAGCACCCGATCCTGCCCAAGGTCTGTCAACTCGCCACGACACACGACACACGAAACACGGCACACATAACACGCACGACACACGATGGTGCATGAGCTGTACTGACGTGACGTGACGCACCATGAACAGACGGCCAAGGCTCCGGTGATGATGATGATCTCCAACTGTGAGCCAAAGTCGCCGCGCAACCAGTACCTCGCCGAGCTGATGCGCTACATCGACATCGACTCCTACGGCAAGTGCTTCCACAACAAGGTGAGTTGATCTCGAGTTGTGTGTGTGCGTGGCTCGTGTGCCGTGTGTCGTGTGTCGTGTGTCGTGGCGAGTGCGTGTGTCCTGTGCGCGTGCGATCTTACCGTGCGTGTGCGGCAGGACATACCGAGGGAGATGGACGGGTGGCCGTGGTGGGAGGTCAAGTGGAACATCACGGCGCAGTACAAGTTCACCATCGCCATTGAGAACTCCATCTCTCTCGACTACGTCACCGAGAAGCTCTTCCACTCCTTCATCGTCGGCACCGTCCCCAGTACGCCAACACCTTTTCTTCCGCCCGCGAGTCGTGTGTCGTGTCGTGTGCTGTTGTGTGACATTGTGCGTGTGTGGCACGGTGTCGTGCTGGCGTAGTCTACCTGGGGGCGCCTAACGTGGACAGCTTCGCTCCGGCGGAGAAGTCGGTCATCAAGGTCACTGACTTTGAGTGCGTCACCCACGATCTCCTCCATTCCACACTTGCGTGTCCTAACGTGTGTCGTGTGTCGCGTGCGGTGCGCGTTTGCAGTGGTCCGAAGGAGTTGGCCGCCTACTTAAGGGCGTTGGACGAGGACGACGATGCCTACGGGGAGTACCTGCAGTGGAAGCGGGACGGGCCGTCGCAGAGCTTCGTCGACCTCCAGCGGACCTCGCCCCGCACCGGACCCTGCCGGTACCCCGCCACCCTCGTCACTGGCCCTCTGACTTGCTTTGACTTTGACTGTTCCACTGTGGTGGTGGTTGCTGTTGGTTGTGCAATGCGACAGGCTGTGCAAACGAATCGCGGAGCTGCAGAACCTGACGCCGTCAAAGAGGGAAATGGCCGCGCGGCATCACCACCACAAGCACTGACGAAGAGGAAGCAAAAAAGACAAAGAGAGAGAGAGAGAGAGAGAGAGAGGAGCTCGTACCGGGCACGCGCCATCATGTCGATGATGGCCGGTTGGTGGAAATATCTAATTTATTGTTGATCGTGTGGTTGGACACTGCAGACAACACACACGCGATACAACACGATACGATACGACACACACCCGTGTGCGGACAGAGGAAACGTACAACATCATCATCGTCGTCATCATCAAACGTTGTCGTGTACGATCTGGTAGACGTTGAGGCCGACGACGAGGCCCACGAGCAGGACTATGACCACGATCAGTCCGTAGGCCATGCCCGTCGCATGCGGCATGAGCCACCCCGGCAGCGCCCGGAACGCCGGCATCTCGTCCACGTCATCACAATCGTCGTCGACACCCGCCGCCGCCTCACTGTCGACACTCTTCACGCCGTAGGCCGGGTTGGGGGTGGGTTGATGGTGGTGGTGGTGGTCGATGGTGAGATAGCCGCCGCCGGCGAGCAGGTCTGGCCCGGCCGTTGCAGCGGCGGCGGCGGTGGTGTTGTGTTCGATGTGGTCGGCCGGGTTGTGGGTCCGGCTCCAATGGAGGGCGCGGATGTAGATGAGGAGCGGGAGGATGAAGTTGATGGTCGACTGGAGGAAGAGCGACGCAAAGTTGATCACCGTCGTCAGGCCGCTGCCCGTGTAGAACGGAATCGCTGATGACCACGACGACCACATTAAAGAAGTTCAAAAAAAGAAGAGAAGGATAGGTTACACGTCAGTCGACATTCTCGTAATATGTGGGTGATATGTATGTATATATATATATATATAACGATTGTTTACATGTGTGTATGTATGTACCGATGAGCCAGGGGAAGATGACGGAGAAGAAGAAGGCCCAGTACTTGTTGCAGAGGTTGTTGTCGATCAGGTTGTACCGCACGATGATCCTGCGCGTGTGCCACCCCCAATCGATTACTAGGGCGAAAAAGAGCGAAAGAGGCGGGCGGGGGGGGGAGGCGAGAGGCGGGCGAAAGGGGGACGAGAAGGAGCGGGTACGCGTAGACGGGGATGGAGGTGACGAAGATGGCGGCGGGGATGAAGTAGCCGCTGATGCGCGAGAGGATGAAGCAGCCGTCGCAGTGGGACTGGAGCATCGTCAGCAGATTGTTGTCGCCCGTGTACACGAACGCCAGCGCGCCTGTGTGTGTGCGGTGTGTGCGGTGAGTCCACACGACAGCGCGTGTGCGGCGTGCGGCGGTGACGGGGGGCGGGCGGTGCGTCGAGGGTACCGATGATGCCAACGAAGAAGAAGACGACCGAGGCGATGGTGGTGCTGGCGATGAGGCTGGGCTTGACGCTCACATTCGACGCCTTCTCGCTGCACCAGCTCGGCACCGTGATCGCCATCACGAAGTTG